ACACATGGAACTAGAGTTCCTCAAAACCTAAGTGAAGGGAAGTTACTCTATAGAGAAGAGAGAGACTGCAGAAATCTTATCTAGATCTTCAATCTCCATCTCCAAGCTTGATTCCCGAGCTCCAATGGTGAAGAAATCCTCCAAAATAGCTCCAAGAATGTTCCCAAGTCGCTCTCTCTCTCTCTAGGGTTCGTCCCTTGGGTGTTTTGGAACCAAAACCAAGCTCTCCCTCTCCTTTGGCTCGAATTTGGGTTAAAACCCAGAATTTCCCCGACTCACACGGCCAGGCCACACGGCCGTGTGACTCTCCCAGGCTGCCCGTGTGAGTGCAAAATGCGGCGTTTCGTTAAGTTACTTCAGCCATCCTATACGGCCACGACCCACACAGCCGTGTGGACTTCCAGGGTGTCCGTGTGAGTTCCCTGGAATTTCCACACGGCCACCAGGGATCCCCTACACGGTCGTGTGGCTTTTAGGCATGCCCGTGTGACTTCTCAGCTTCTCGCCAAACGTCCAAACTTCGTCCAATCGACCCCGAACTCGTTCCCAAACCTTCATTCACGTACTAGGACCTGAAATATCACAAACAAGCACAACCTAGCGTGAAATCGGCCTAAAACACGAGAATCAACGTCTCAACCGGCTCAAGAGTAGGGGTAAAGACATGTTTAATTATTGGTCTATCAAACTCCCCCACACTTAACCGTTTGCTTGTCCCCAAGCAAACCTAACTCAAACCACTGCAACTCTCTAGACCTCTACAGCAACAAACAACCCCGATCGTCGGTAGAGGATTTTCTAGATCATATAGCAGTTTCTGTGGTCAACTGGTTTTCTAAGACGTTCCCTATGTCTCTCAATGCGAGTACTAGACTCAAGCTAGGATCATGAGAAGAAGTAGAAGTAAGAGAGTCAGTTCATGGATAAAGGAACTCATATCATTCACAACCATGGACTCGTTGTACCGGGGTGCTCTTTCACTTCATTTCACCGTTGGAACCCCTTTTTTCACTTTCATTTTACTTCATTTTTTTCATTCACTTAGCGGGGGTTCCTACTGTCGTCTTTCACACGATCGACCCTTATTAGTCGAGCAAGAGAAATTTCTGTACATCTGGCGCTCGCCAGAGTACTTCTTTTAACTCCTTTTCCTCAACTCGTGTGGAGGGTCAATGAAATTAAGGGGGGTCGGAAGCTCTATCCATGCCCTTAAAAACACATCCTCAAGTAGGCAAACCGTTCACGGGTGGAAGTTTTACTTGTACTAGAGACAGCTTAGCTTCACCTTGTAGGCCTACCCCACCAAGGATCACTAAAATCTCTTCCAAAATCGATTTTGTGCAATGAACGGTGCCACACACGTTGGGCTTACCCCATGTCTTAGAATTTCACATTTTTGGCATGGAGGACCAACTGCTTTTTCATTTCACACTTGAGCACCCTTTTTCGATACACGAGTCCACAACATAAGAGGAGTCATCAATACCACATGAATCAACGGTCCTAATCCACTAGTTCACAAAATCAACCGGCACATCAGAGAGACAGATAGGAAAAATTTTATACTTCAACCATCCTCCATAGTGATACAACTACCTCCCTAGGTTGCATATCACCATAAAGACTGTCAATTCAAAGCATACTGAGCAGGATTTTGCAGGGAACACGTACTTGGAGCCCTCAAATTTAAAAATTTGGACAGTGGACTAGGCTCCTAGCACACAAACAGCCAACATTCACCCGCATACATAATCGAACATCCCCCCACACTTAAGCACAACATTGTCCTCAATGGAGGAAAGATAAGGAGGGTAGAACGAAGTTACCAGATCAAGGGTGAATGATGGTGGATGGGGCAGGCGGTGCATTCCAGGGGGAGAGAGTAGTCGGAACACAAACACCACACAGAATCTCAAAAAGGTTGATTTATTCACTCTAAAATCAAATAACAAAACCGACTCAACCGAGGAGAAATAAAGAAAGAAATGCAAACCGACTAGTTGGGTTTCCTCCCAACAAGCGCTTCTTTCACGTTGTGAGCCGGACGATGGCTCCTAAGTTTTGGTCCACCCGAAAACCTCCTTGAAGTTGAGGTTCTCGTCGATGAGGTGGAGTCTCAAGTCACGAGCATGTGGTATGACAAGTGATGGAAGCTCGTGCACTTGATGCAGATGAAGTCTCCACCCTCGAGACCTCTTCTTCTCTTCTCTCGTCTCATTGCCCCAAACTAGATATGACAGCATCGATTGGCCACCATCGCATCCACCAAGAGGAACCGATGTCGATGTGGCCTTGGTCTGGCAAAGAGACACTGCAAATGGGTCCTTGCTAAGAAGTTCCTCGAAGTTTGGTGGGGATATTACTCGCAACTCATGGCCGGCGCAAGCCTCTTCCACCTCAACTTCATCCTCAGCATGGACACCACTTGCTTCTTCAACCCCCTGCCTTCATCTGAATGTGGCCTCTCCCCTTGGAAAAGATCAAGAACTTCCTCTTCTTTACTTTCTTCCTCATCCTCCACAACTTCTTCCCTCACCCTTTATCGCTCTTCTTCTTCTGGCACAGATTGGAGAGCAAGTCGCCATGTAATTTCTTCAATGAGATCATCTTGCATCTCATCGCGCGGGCCTAGCATATCAGAGCAGAAATGGGGAAAGTTGTGATCTACCACCAGAGGATACACTTGATCATGATTATCATGGGAGCTTTCCGTGACAACTTCTGCATGCTCCTCAACATCCTCATGATTGCCTTCTTCTTCCTCCTCCTCTACTTGTATGTCAGCATAAAGGTTGTCTTGAGAAAACTGTGCACAAGCTTTCTCAATGACCTCTATGTGCTTCTTTATGCTCCGAAAGGTATCCTCTGTTTCACGGGGAAAGGAGAAGTCAGTTTGGGCCTTGGCCTGGATATAAGGATCCATCTCGGGAAAGGATCTCTCAGGTACTCGAGCAATCTGCTCCACGAGAAGCCTCAAGTGATAGTTTGGATCTGGCTGTGGAGTGTAGCATGGCTCTGCAGAATGGCCCGTGAAGGCCGCCATGGGTAACTCCAGCTCCGATGGCCCTTCTGGTTGTTGGAGAAATTCTTCTCGGTAATGAGGTTGTTCTTGATATGCCCAGGGGTCTGATTGTTCTACGTAGTAAGGGGGTTGGTACTGGAACCCGAATCCATAGTCTTCTCCTCCTTGATTGCTATAGGGAGTCTCGGGGTAATACCACTCGAATGGTGGTGGATACCCCCAATGGTTGGAGAAGCCATGAGGATCCATGATTCATATCTGCACCAACAAAAACGAAAACACCCAAGTAAAAAGCAAGGGTGGAAAAGAAAAGAAAAATGCTAAAGTAACAAACTTCTGCCTTTCCAAATAATCTAGAAAGTCCCCGGCAACGGTGCCAAAAACTTGACACGCTAAAACACAACACCTAACAATGGCCAAGTGTAACCAATGAAAGGGACTGCAGTATAGTGGCACAAGTAATAAATATCGAATCCACGGGTCTCTAGAGTTACTATTACTCAGCTTCAGTTCATTATCTAGCAAACTAGATTAAGGATTGATTTACTAAACTACTCTACTAAGTACTCTACTAATTACAAGTTGGGAACTCACTTAGGTATGATTCCCCCTAGCTCCTCAATTAGGTCCAAGTTGCAATTACCTTTGGTTGATCTACTGTTGATTAAACTGCGGAAGATCCTAAATTAGCTTGGAATCTCTTAAGCTAACCAAGCCCTCTTAAGCCTGGCCGTGTGACTCTCCCAGGCTGCCCGTGTGAGTGCAAAAAGCGGCGTTTCGTTAAGTTACTTCAGCCATCCTACACGGCCACGACCCACACGGCCGTGTGGACTTCCAGGGTGCCCGTGTGAGTTCCCTGGAATTTCCACACGGCCACAAGGGGTCCCCTACACGGTCGTGTGGCTTTTAGGCATGCCCGTATGACTTCTCAGCTTCTCAGGACTCATTAGCAAAGTAATGTTGCACAAACACGCAAAAATCTATGTACTCTACTTGAGTAAGAGCTTAGCTTTCGTAGGAGTGTCTGGAGCTAATGACATGATGTCATCATTAATGGTGATACCCTCCTTCTCTTTTATGTAGCTAGTTTGAAATTGATTGTACGAAGATGTGAACTTGTTTATCTTTATGTGAATGAATGTTATGCTTTCATATCATGCTTGTGTTTATCTATATGAATTTTGACGCTCATTGCTTATGCATGGATGCCTATGTTTTGATGCATATTGATGATTGTTGTTTACTTAGTATGAATTCTTTCTTATCATCTATATATATGGTTCTATAGTATGCTACTATATGCATTGTGCTTAGTATTACCTAGATTTATAAGAAATTACCCTTTAGTGATACTCCATTGATGCTACACGAGTATAGAGGGAATGCTCAACCATCTATACCCCGAGCGTATGAAAAATGTAACTTTTATTTGTAAATGATTGAACGGTAAATATGAGACTTTTCCTTAATATTTACAAACGAAAATTTTAAATAGTAAAAATACCAAAATGGAAGGGGATATGTAGCCTATTGATAACACATCAAATTGGGTCCCTCTTTTTCTTTAACGTCCATGGATATATATTATATAGCGTACAAATTAAATGCATTTTCAATAATATATAATATAGGGCTGCCTGTAGATACTTGGCTACTACTAATATAATGGAGACATGAGACGTGAATTGGGTTGTTTGTTCTTTCATAAAGGAAGAAGCTTAGCATATCCAATCTATCTTTTTATCTTCTTATTTTTTTTATGAAGGAATATATCATTATACCATAAAAAAAGAATATATCACTTCGGCTTTTTTTTTCCTTTTTCTGGCCCATGGGTTCATCGCTTTGCTTGCATCATGTCGATGACATTGACTTGGACCGTCTATTTAGTGGATTTTCCCTCTCGAGTGGAATTCGCTTGTAGGGTGATGGTAGGGTTCCAAAATTGATCTATAAAAACAAAACGAAACCTCTACGCATCTCCCCCCAAGATTTTTTTTTTTTTGGTGGAAAATCTCCCCCAATATTAATTAAGAGAATATATATTTATGTGTGGGGTAATCTCTTAGAATTGAAGCCGAATAGTGTAATGGTAATCGAGAGGAATGGATTGTAATGATTACATGTAATGAAGGTTGGATTTAGGTCGTGTAATCGATTTGGCTTCAATTGTGTACAAGGTAAGATTATAATTTCTTTTGGTAGATGGTAAGATTAGAATTCTGTATTAGCCAAGGTTGTCAACCCGCGGGATGACTGGACCTGGTCAAGCTAGTGGGTCGGCTAGGAATCTAGACCAAACTATATGAGAAACTATGGTCTAGTCCAGATTGTATGGTTTGGTCCGGATTGTGAGACCAGAATCACAGTTTGGTCTGGTTTGTGGTCTCTCCTTTTAGTTTGTGGTCTGACACGGTCTGGAACGCGGTAATCGTGGTTTATCGCGGTTCACAAATCGAGCCTGGTCAATCCGATCATGGCGAACAAATAATCTGATCTTGCTATTGTAGATTTCTGCATAAGCATAACAAATCTATTGATTCTTCATCCAACTGAAAACTAACAGACTGCTCAAGCGATCTCTTTTGTGTTATCTCCTTCCTAATGAAAGAACCACACAAAAATAAGAAAAAAGATGGGGAAATGATCTCAACTAGCCATGTCTAGAGTCCGGAGTCTGATTATAAAGAAATTGAGAACAAAATTTGTTTACCCAAATGAGATAAGAGAAATTCTTTCGGGCAAATCGCCAACCTAGTGGTTCAAAATGATATCGACTTCTTCGTGGTAGGAATTGACTACGAGAACCGTTGAGCACCTGGAAGAGTGAGAGAAACAATAACACAAAGAGGAAGAGGAATACACAATTATTTATTGTGTTTTTATTTTAAGTATATAGACTGGAGTAGGAGTAAGAAATTTAATTAGTACACTTCTCTCAGCATATTTCTTCATGGGTTAGTTACGGTCACTAAATTTTGTTTCACTAGTAGATCGATCACGAAAAAGATGACATAATTAGAGGATGAATCAATGGTGGGAGCGGTGTCACGTTTGAATGATATCTCGGGTGGAGAAGGAGCTTAGCTTATGGAAGTCATGGCTTCGGGACCCGGTTGGAGTTCCATGATCATGGCAAGAGGCTCAAGCGGGGTCGGAGGTGCGACCAGGGAGGCATTGATGGATTAGATTTGCACTACTATGTGTTCCATTTTCATCGGAGTTCTCTTCTTCGGCATGAGACCCAACAGTGTTCAGTAGAACCAGTAGGGAGGAGTGCTTAAAGGAGGATCCAGCTTGATGGATGGTAACACCCAATATGGTGTTATTTAGAGCTCAAATTTAGGATTGTTTGAGTCATTATATGGTCTTCATGGTTAATATATCATAAATTATACCCTTTATTCATTCTTTAGAGAAAATATTAACATTTTAGTGTGCATTAGTCGATATGAATGTTTTAGGTTACAAAAGAGGGCACAAATGTAGAGAAATGTGCAAATACTGAGGATCACAGCCAGGCATAGAAGAGAATGGTCTGGAATAGAGGTCACCAAGCTGGACAGGGAGATCGCAACCACCATAGCAAAGATCACGACCGCGAAGAAGGAGGCCTTAGGCGCGAACTCTTGCAGCAGCCAATAAGGAAGAAACATAAATTTTGATAGTCGAATCATGAATTTCTGCATCAGAGCCTGTGAATAAGATTGCGGCCAAGACTCACGGATCACGACCGTGAAGTCGGGCCACGAACTTTCCTGCCATCGAAGCGCAAAAAGGCAAGGCCAGAGATTGCGGCCTCCCCTTTCCAGATGGCAATCGTGAACTTTCACAGTTCGACTGGTTTGAGAGAGAGAAAGTAGAGAGAGAAGTTGAAAGAATGAGAAGAAGGAGGAGTCAAGGAGGAAGGGAGCTCTCCTCAATTCAATACTTCTTCTATGTATATACATGTATTTTCTTACCTCCTTTATGGAGTAGTCCTCTAAGGTACTAGGGGTTAAAACCCCCCCAAAATGTTAGATTTAGGTTTTAAATGTAGATGTAGTTGTGTTATGGTTTGTATATAAATTTGTTTGTTTCAGTGATCATATGCTTCATTATGCTTGATTATGTTGTGGATTGTCTCTCCAAATCTTTCCTACTAGCTTAAAACTGATTCTCAGAACTAGGTGGGAATTTAAGGTTTAGACTGGATTTGAGCGTCCTAAGGTTAATTGGAGGTAGATGAATGATCTTAGGGCTTCTTTTAGTGGACGAGGTGACTAAACCCTTACTGGAAGAATGCCTTCTAGAGACAATGCTAGAGATAATGTAAGCATCATCAATCCATCGCTTTAGTGTGCCTGATAGGTTGAACCTATTAGGAGAAACTAGCGGTTATTCCTTAGTACGTGAGCTTTGACCGAGGTGACAATGGGTCTCTGGGAGCGTACTAGGAGGAGACGGAGTTATCATTGAAACCATCACTTTAGCGAGTTTCGTACCTCATCCTGCAAACCCAACATAGTTGGCCATTTGCATGAAGAACCTAGAGTTAGGGAGAGGGAGTTACCTCGAAGTACCTGCTTTGTATCTTTGCTTTCTCCACCAGTATTTTCAATTGACCTCCAAAAACCCAACTAAACATATTGGTTAGATGACAACAAAGTGAGAAGTAGTATGGGGTATCAAAATCCATGGAATATGACCTTGGTCACCACTATATTAGCAACGCCCTTTCGATTTATACTTTGCTCAAAATGGAAGGTTAGTTAGACCGTGCAAACAATTGACATAACCCGCATGGGGGTTCAACCATGTGGGAAAATGCTACAGGGACAAGGATAGATGATTAAGTCGTCAAGAGAGTGGGCTAGGGTCGCAGCGCCAAGCGCTGCTAGGTTTGGGTTCGCGGATGGGTTTCCCTGGGTTTTGAGTTGCAGCTCGTATAACTGGAGTGGGCAGGTGCAATTAGGAACAAAAGCAGAAGTCAGCGAGAGCATCTTCAACTTCAATGCGAGAATGAGCCACGAAGGGTGGGTTGGGCCGAACATGTTGGCCTTTGGTGGTTTTGGACTGAGTGGGCTCAATGTGGGAGATGTGCAGCAGAGTCGCTGGTCTGCAATGCCGAAATGGGGAACATGACCCGACAGACTTAGACGAGAAAGCAGAGGTGCTTACATTTTGGTAATGGATCAACTGGACTTCCTAATGTTTAATAGGAGTGAGGATCATTTGGAGTGATTTTCGCGAGTGGAGCAGTCCTTTAAATTCTAAAAGATTTAGGAGGAGCTATGGGCTCGCTTTAGGACATCATAAGGGAGTGTAGCCATGATTAGAACAAATTGATTGCTCAACGATTATCTACTTGCATTCGAGATATTTGGTAATCGATACATGGGGTGGAAAAAAGAGGCTCTGGTTATTGACATGCTTAAAATGAAACTATATGATGCTATTCACATGTTTCGGTCAGAAACAATGAGGAAAGCAACAAGACTTGCCAAAGTGAATAGTAACATACCAACCAAGCATTGTAGTGCACTAAGGAATCCTCATTGGGCTATGTCATAGTCAATAGCTGCTTCGTTGACAACACAACTCACTTGTCACCTACTCACAATCATAATGCTCACAGTATTTAGTTAGATGAAATCACACGAATGCGCGAATGCTCAAGTGATGCTAATGATTGGGGACTGCAAGGAGGAAGTAGGAGCATGTGTCTTTGAGGATGAACAAACTTGAGGACAAAGTTGCGCTCAAGGGGGTGATTGTCACGTAGACTAGTTTAGGTGACTAATATGACATTTAAGCTTGCATATCTTTTTTAAGTTAATCATAATTTAGTGTTGTTTTGGGATTATTCGTCTTATCTAATTTCTTATTAATAATTTTTTATATTTAATTAGTGTTGCTTGTGGATTAAGAAAGGAAAGTTGATTAGGAAAATGAGAGGGGAGAGGTTGGCGACTTAGGCTAGAGGAAAAGGGATTTGTGGTGTTATTTCTATAAATATGTACTTATTTTCCTGATTAAGGTATATAAGATGTTTGGGTTAGTGTGCAAAATCTTATAGTTTTGTTGTTCTACAAAACCTTAATGGATGCTTGAGATTGAGAGGAAGGTGATCAAATGGTCATCTTTATAGAGGGGTAAGAAGAGAAAGTAGGAGTTAGTATGATATTAATAGTGGTATAATGTTTGTATGATGTTGGTATGATAGTGAAATGATGTTAGTATGATGTCTTATGTTTGACAAAATAATTTGATGGCATCATATCATGGTCATATTATTGTGTAGATCTTAATTAATGCGCTATTTCTACATAATGTTTTAAATTTTGTGTTAAAGTGGAGGAAACGAATCATCATATCATAATCATATAATGATGATATGATAGTGCTAATACCACAACCAACACATATTTTGAATAGTTTTTTTTTATCAAAATATTGTAAAATGAATATCATTGTGTAGATAATAATTAATGTGCTCATTCTATGTAAAAAAAATTGAGTTAAAAAGAATGAGATAGGATTCATAAGGGATTAGAAAAAAGTGTCTTTTCTCGCCTCTAGATCTGTGTCAATACAACAAAACTAAAAAAGTAGGGGGTGCAAAATTACTAATCCGCTCCTTCTAATTGTTTTTGTTGTGAATTAATTTTGGTCGTTAGATATGATTTAAATGAATGAATTCTTATTGGATTTTGTACCTTTATATGTTGTATCTTATCATTTTTCGTATAAAATTTAGCTTTCTTGCTTTCATTATTATTATCTAGCTTTCTTGCTTTCACTGCCTATGTTTGGCCCGGCTTTTAGAAGTCTTTTTATGCTTCAAAAGCTGAACCAGGGTTAAACACCTCTAAAAGCTCGGCTTTTGAATAGCTAAAAAGTATTTTTGTTTAACATACAAGCAAAAGCCCCGATTCCGAATTGGAGCTTGTGCGAAAAGCTGTTTTGAACATACAAGGTTACCCTTACCATATTTTATATTTATCTCAGAAAATATAATTTTCTTTCTTTATATCATGTTAAATTAAAATAAATTGAATTATTATTTTTTTATATAAAATAAATCTAACAAGATCCATTGACTACTTTTTAATTTTTAGAAATTTTATTCATATTTTGTACTAATAATCCTTTTTAGTCATTTAGCATGACCTCTTATATTAAAAAGCACTTGTAATTATTGTCGGCCAAATACTGAACTGCTCTTTTTGAAAAGCACTTATCTAAAAACTCTAACCGGAAACTTTCTGAAAAAATATCTAGGACCAAATTAGCCCATTATTATCTATAGCTTTCTTGTTGTGCGTCCTAGCATTCTATTCGTTTTGAAACTCATATGGATCGAAGATCCTACATTATACTTCAACTCCTATTCTTGTAGGAACTTAACAACAATTTATTTATTTTTGGTAAACGATCCAATAGAAATTTACCACATTTTTTATTTTGTGATGTATCATAGGGCGGTGAGTTGTTTATATATCGGCAAATAATATTCTTATGTTTGCTCTAGCTTTTAAAGTTGTTTTTCGGTTTCAAAAGTTGAAGCAGAATCAAACATATTTAAAAGCTCGGTTTTTTTTTTTTTTGAAAACTCGGAAATATAATTTTCTTTCATTATATCATTTTAAAAATAAATAAACTATTAAAAATCATATTATTTAATATAAAATAAATCTAACAAGATCCATTTTAACTACTTTTTATTGTTTAGAATTTTTATTCATAGTTTACATTAGAGATAATACTACTAGGAAACCCGAACTATCAAGAAAGTGTCACTTGTATCCTGAACTATTCAATTTGACATTTATGTTATGAACAATTTTTTCGTTAGTGTCAACGTGGCATATGATATGGAGTTTTAAATATTATATTTTTTTATATTTTTTTATCTAAAATGATTAAAATATAATCAATAAAAAATAAAAAGTTACAAAAACCCCAAATCGTCTTAATCACTCCGTCGATTTCTCTCCTAAGTCAACATCAATTTGACCACTGTCTAGTTAATCGCTATCTATAATGGTTAACGAAATCGTCAGAACATAATGACACACATGACACAACTATCATATGTTGGGACATGAATGGAATATTAAATAGTTCGAGACACAAATGTTACTTTCTTAATAGTTCAGGTTTTCCATTGGTATTAGCCCTTTATATTATAAGTCATTTATAATCATTTTACATAAACTATCATATTAAAAAATACTTCTAATTGTTTTTCAAGCAAATACTCAACTGTTTTTTAAATATTTATCTGAAACTTCAAGTCAAAAGCTGATTATGAAAAAACTATAACAAGCCAAAACTAGGCCTATGACACCAAGCCTGCTCAACATTCTTGGTACGTTCAAAAAGACAACCCAAGTCATTTTTCACCACGAAAGATTGCATTGTAAAAAAAAACGAAATATTGCCTTGCATATATGTATAGACTATAGTGTACACAAAAGCAACATCGGATTTGGATGAGTTTGCATTAATTCTTCACCACACAAATGCAGCTTTATACGTGGCAGTGAGTGTATCAATACTGAATTTCATTCCTAGAATCCAGGTTTAATAACCGCAGTCACACTCAGTTAGGATAGGGACGGCAATCAAACTCATGACTGTGAGTATTCGTCCATCTCTGACTCAGTCAACGCGGGGAACTCATGCATTGATCGGGTATTGAATGGGTATGAGTAAAACCCGTAAAGAACTTGATGGGTATGGGACGGGTATGGTTTTAGTGTCCCCCGCCCCATATTCATACCCAAACCTGCCCCGTCAAGAAATTTTGCTATATGTAAAAAGCTATAAATATTTTTTATAAATTATTATTAGCATGGAGATAATTAAATAAGAAAACATGATTAAAATGTAATTATATTTATCAATATCTGAAAAATATCACCCTGGTATAGGGGTGGTATCTTGTAGTACACAAGGTTGAAAGTTCTAAATGACAATTAATATATTCATACTATCATGTATTTAACAATTCTACAGTCTGGTATTTTCATATCACCATGATACACTTCTGTACCACGTGGTATGCTCTTATGTAATACCAAATAATATCACAATGATATAGACTGGTACTAAACGTCTCCATTTTTATTCGGAAAAATATAAATGTGGATATCATTTTGAAGAGCACTATTAATCTTATTTATTTGTGCAAAAAATTAGAGTTAAAACAAAAGAGATATAACCCGTTAAAATTTCGAGGGAAAAATGGGAGAAGCATTTTCATAAAGGATGGTGTGGCACTGATGTGGTAGGTTATGCATGGTTATTAATCGTAAGGTTATGGAGGGATCCGCTAATGACTTAATACGGGGGAGCAGTTGTGGTGCATAACCTTGTGGTGCACAACCATGCATAACCTTTCACATTAGTGCCACCTCATCATTCATGAAATGTTTTAATCTTTACCCCTCTAAATTTTAACTGACTATATATCTTTCGTTTTAAGTATAAAAAAAATTGTATAGATAAATAAGATTAATTGTCCTCTTCAAAATGGTATTGATAACACCTAAAATAGGTGTTATTTGGCCCTCGGTCTCGAGGCGTTTGCATGCTAAATCACCGTGTCTAGGCCACACATGATGCTAGCTTATGCCTATTTTCGTTATTATTTGCAAAACATACATTTTGGCATGCGTTAGTTTGATATGAAGGTTTTAATGGGAAAATTAACCCCACTTTGTCGTGTTTTATGCTTTTACGCATAGTGTTTTTTATGAAATTCCAGGACTCAAAACCATGTAGTATTGATCAGGAATCAATTGGAGTTTATCCGATCACGATTGGGAAGCATAGGAGCAAGAAAGGAAGAAAAAGGACAGGTCACGGCCACATCACGGCCTTGGCCAGGCCATTATCATGTTCTCGGTCATGAATAATGGCCTAGAACTTCAGTGGGAAGCAAACAAGAGGGTAAAAAGTTTTGACACTCGGATCGCGGTCAATGAGCTTTTTGATCGCGAAAAAGATTACGCCCATGACACCAAATATCGCGATCTTGATCTCCTGAATGAAGCTACAATCTCAGAACTTGGAGATGAAGTGAAATCGCAAATTTACGAGCTATTCGGGGTCGACCAAGGCTAGCTACGACCTGGTCACGCCCAGATCACGCCCTTGATGACGTGATCTACATCAACACTTTATAAATAGCCCCTTTTCTGCACTTGACAAAGGAGAGCCGCAATAGAGTGAAGTAATTAGGGTTTTAGAGCAATTTTAGAGGGAGAAACACCTTTGGAGAGCTTAGAGGAAGATCCAATCCACCCAAGGAGCAAGAAGAAGGTGTGATACAAGGAGAAGAAGATGATTTCACCATTCATCCTCTTCTTAGTTTGTATTTTCTCTCTCTATGACTTGAATCTCTAAAGTTGTTTAGGAAAGATGAACACTAGTCTATAGTTTGGGTTT